CGGGATGCTCCCCAGCCCCAGGAGGCTCCTGAGCTCCTGGAGGCTCCGTGGGGAGCTGGGCTCCTGGCCAAGCCCCGCACGCTCGCCGGGCGCTCTGCTGCCAGCGCGGCTCCCAGCGCTCTGCTTTCCCCCCACGTTTGGGAACAGCAGAGCTTCACTTTGCTGGAGACCTCTCACAGCCCCAGGGGTGGGAGGAGGGGGACAGCCCCCAGCCCTTACCTCTCACATTCAGCCCGTTGTCACACGCAAACTGTGCGAATGGTGACATGTAAGTGGGGTCATAGGCCAGCTCGTGAGCTTGCTCGGCGATGCTCCTCGCAGTCTGCTGTATGCTCTCGTAGTTGGAGTTCTGAATTCAGGAGGGGAAGAAAACAAGTTTATTCTTGTAAGGAAGTCTACTGGCAGTTGTTTTGCTGCTGCGTGCCAGTTCTGGGAAGCCCTGACTGCCAGCCTCTCTCACAGGTTAGGGCACTACTCACCATCTTCTCTTCCAAACAGAACCCTCACCCTCTTTTAGGCTTCATAAATTTGGGTTAGAACTGCAAACCTTCACAGCTCAACTCCAGACTTCAATCCCCTACCAGCAGTACGAGATTTGGTTTGGAGGATTTGTAAATCTCACTCCAAACAGACTGAAGAGTGCCCCGTGAGGGAAGCAGGACACTGCAGAGCTCTGCTGGTGGCTCAGCATGGAGGAACCAGCCTGGCTCACACAGCAGCAATCCCGCTTTACCCCAGGTGGGAAGTCTCACTGTCTCACCCTCCTGCCCAGATCAACAAGGGCACCCTCAGGGAGAAGGGGCACTTAAAAAAAAATGAGAAAAGAATTACTGAGCATGTAAACTTTCTATGGACTGCATTTTAAGTGTCTCTTTTATTTCCTGTTTCAGTAATTCTCTGAGTTCTCCAAGTAACACTCTTCACTCCAAGACTATTTTTACTCAAGCCAACCCAACACAACCACCACAGCTTTGGTGTGTAGATGGTTTGTAACCCTTTGAAATGCCTCAGTGTCTCAAGTCTTCCCCCCAGACTGGGGCACTACCAGGCATTTACTCCATTAACTTCTGGCTGCACCTCCTGGGGAACTGCAGTGCCTTCCCCACAGGCACCAAGAGGTGGAGCTCAGCATTCCTCCACATGGGAATTCCACCCCCAGTGCCACCCAGCAGAGGGAGGGTGGGAGCACAGCACACAGGGTGACCTGGCACTGCAGGTCACTGCTTGGCCCACCAGGACCCCCAAACCCTGACTAAGGGGCTCTCATCACCCTCACTAATCAGGCCAAAGCCTCTGTGCCAGCCTGGGCCCAGGATCTCCACAGCTGCTCAATTTCAGACCCGAATATTGCACCAAGAGGAGGGATCATCCCCTGGGCTTGGCACTGGGGAGGCCACACCTTGAATACTGGGTTCAGTTTTGGGCACCTCAATACAAGAAAGACATCAAGTTGTTGGAGAGTAGTCAGAGAAGGGCAATGATGCTGGGGAAGGGTCTAGAGGCCAAGTGTGGGGAGGAGCAGCTGAGGGAGCTGGGGGTGCTGAGCCTGGAGCAAAGGAGGCTCAGGGGAGACCTTCTGGCTCTGCACAGCTCCTGACAGGAGCCTGGAGCCAGGGCGGGGTCGGGCTCTGCTCCCAAGGGACAGGACAAGAGGAAACAGCCTCAAGTTGCCCCAGGGCAGGTTGAGGTTGTCCCTGAGGAACAATTTCTTCCCCTTGAGGGTTGCCCAGGGCTGTGCCAGGCTGCCCAGGGCAGTGGTGGAGTCCCCACCCCTGGAGGGGTTTCCAAGCTGTGGAGATGTGGGGTGAGGGACACGGGGCAGTGGGGACCTGGCAGTGCTGGGGGAACAGTTGGCCTCAACAACCTTAAAATACCTTTCTGAACCAAAACAATTCTGTGATTCTGTGCTCTTGGGGACTGCAGAGAGGGGGAAACACCAGCCTGCCTGTCGGGCAGAGGCCTCTCACATTGTCTGACACCACCTTTCAGTTACGTAGCTGCAGGATAAGAGCAGGGAAAATTTTTTTCAAACCACAGTGTAATTCTACCTGTTAAGCTTATTTGCATCCCATAACAAAGTAGTTCCCTCAGGGAGGTTATACATATTGATATCTCCTAAGCAGACTTTCCTTTCTCTAAGTAAATAGCCTCAAGCTAAATGTTCTCATCCAAATTAAAGTATTTTAATGTACTTTTACTCTCTGAAAAGATCATTTGCAGTCACTAACTGGGAAAAGTTGTCAGGAAATCTGTTTTAAAGACCATAAAAAATTTTCAGGCACAGCAACCCACGACTGAGAGAGCCCACACTACCTTAGAACTGCTGGTTTAGTGCAGAATTGCAGATCCAAGAGACAGTGCCTCGGAGCCAGCGTCCCCTTCTACTGTCTCTAAATGACAGACAGGGAGGCTGAGGATATTCACACTTACCTTCAGCTTTTTCAGCTCCTGCAGGATCATGTAGTCAGGCATGTTGTCAAACAGTCCGTCTGTCGCAGTCAAAATAATGTCTCCAAGTTGGACATCAAAAGAAGTGCTATCAGCAGCATCAGGGCTGTGGGGATGACAGGATTGTTAAGGAAAAGGCCTCCAGCTCTCACTGAGACACCAGGCAACCTCAAATCACCACCTCAACAGGAACTCACTACGTTTGTGTGTTGTTCTGGAAAGGGAAGAAATCATCACTGACTGGGGAGCTTCTGCACCAGGATGGCTTCTCAAGGAAGCTGTGACTGCACACAGGTAACATCCCAGCTATTACACACAAAGGAGCTGCATTTAAAACTCCCAGATGAACAATCCTGAGAGCTAATCTGCTTTGCAAGTGGATCTCCATGGAAACCATTAAGGAGAATGGCAGCTCAGGGATTCCTCCTCACTCATCTTCAACGTCTAAGAGCTGTACTTGAAAGGACAATTCATAACTGGAACGGCCAAAACACTCAAGGATTCATAATCATTTTCTAATGTGATGGAATATGAAATGTCTGGCTCTGGGGAGACCTCACTGTGGCCTTCCAGGATCTGAAAGGGGCCTACAAGAAAGCTGGGGAGGGACTTTTTAAAAGGGCTTGTAGAGAAAGGGTGAGGGATAATGGCTTCAAACTGGAAGATGGGAGAGATTTAGATAAGAAATTAGGAGGAAGTTCTTCACACTGAGGGTGTTGAGCCCCTGTCCCAGGTTGCCCAGAGAGGTGGTCGCTGCCCCATCCCAGGTGAGGTTGGCTGGGGCTCTGAGCACCCTGCTCTAGTTGGGGATGTCCCTGCTCCCTGCAGGGGGGTTGGACCAGAGCTTTAAAGGTCCCTTCAACTCAAACCTGTCTGTGATTCTATGGAATTGCTACCAGGAGACCACAGCCCGTTGGCCTACTCATGTCTAATACATTACACGACACCAAGAGGAGAAAGCATCACTTTTGGCTGTGCACATTGATGAAAAACCCAATTCTCAGGAGCAGCACAATGACAAACCCTCCATTTCTTAAGATTCTTCAGGGGTCTTGAAGCAGGAGAAGCTTCTGCAAGCCATGCCATTGGGAACACCAAGAGGAGAAAGTATCAGTTTTGGCTGTGCACATTGATGCAAAACCCAGTTCTCAGAAGCAGCACAATGACAAACCCTCCATTTTTAAAGATTCTTCAGGGGTCTTGAAGCAGAAGAAGCTTCTGCAAGCCATGCCATTGGGCTGTGCCAAAAAGCAGAAGAGCTGCTTCGCTCAACTGATCTGTAGCTTTGGGAAGGTCAATGGAGTGAAGATCATCTGCCTGTGCCCATACAGAGCCAAATTTAACACTAACTGGGACAACAAATGGTAAAAAAAGGACTGGAGAAACATTCAGACAACATGCATGAGTACTAATTAACATCAAGAACAGTGCAGAAAGCAGCAGAAAGCTGTAATCATGATTCAGACTTGAAGTGTGGGAGCTCATTTATCTTGCGCTTTCCTAATTAAGTGGTGACTCAGATGACTTTGCTTTTCTGACTTCCACTGGCCATTATCAACTATCACTGGGCTCTTTGGGTTTTGTCTTCCTATGGATGACATGGAATCTCAGAAAAAAATAAAGATTCTTACAGCTCTGTAATTTCAAACTGTCATTTAATCTCAGTCTAATAAAGAGGTGAGATTATTTAAGGGCTCCAGTTCCAAGGTTCTACTCTAACTTCCCCTCTGCAGTCTTACAATGAAGTAGCAAAATGACACACAAGAATGGTCAGGAGTTTCAAAAGCTTAACCAGCACTTTCAAACAGAGCTCTTTTGGCACTGAAGTCATGATCCTTACTTGATATTTCATGGAATCATAGGATCATTTAGGTTAGAAGAGACCCTTAAGATCACTGGGTCCAAACCTTGTATCAAAGCCTTGAGATGCCTCCTGCATACCACAGTCACTCTTTGAGGACCCCTTTATCATCTCCCTGTATTTAGAAGAGAGATATCACTTTCACAAGTCTATCAGCATTATTTGAAGGCTGTATTTTAATCCCCATTTGAAAGCTGATTTATTTCTTTTACTAAATTTTATATTGCTGGTGAGACTTCACAGAGTCAGAGGATGGCTCAGCCTGACTTTCCTTGGACAAGACAAGTACAAGTCTGCCTTTGAAACAACTCATTTCTGTGAACAGATTGTCCTCTCCTAACACTCTCATTTCCCAGCTTGGTGTTCTGCCAAACAGTTTTTTTGCTCGTTTTGGTCAAATACAATCTGCTGCAGGAAACACAGCTTTTTGGAAACACGAGTTCCAGTCACATGTCCCTCTGCTCTGTTCTTCAAGCACTTGCTACCCCACTGCCAAGATATCTCAAGTAGCGTACTCCAGAGCAGTCCCAGGAGAGTCCAGAGGGCACAGGGAAGGGAAGCTGCTGGTGAGAGGAGCCACGGGGCCACCAGCTGCAGTCCTGTCACGGCGGCCCCATGGAGCAGGACCTGCCTCCTGCACCCCACGTGTGGGAAGGCACCAGCCCGAGTGAACAATCAGCCAGACACACTCAGCCTGGGCAACAGCACCCACAGCTTGTGAAGTGCAAGGTGAGAAACGTTCATGTGACCTAAAGATGTGGACTTAGGGGGGGGAGTATGAGACTCTTTGACTGAGAATGTGTTTAAATCCCAGGTGCTGTGCTGCACTGTACAGAGAGCACCACAGCAGCAAAGCTGCAGCCTCTGGGGAGCTGACCACCTCGATTACAAATTTAAGATCCTCTCCCATCTTACCTGTCACTTAAGACAACTCCTTCTGCTTCTGGTGGAGCTATTGACAGTTGGAAGGGAGTGTTGAAGTAATGCTGCTGCTCGTCAGATCGATGTACTACTTCTCCTCCTCTGACTACCAAAAATCCAGAGTCTCCCAAGTTGGCCGTGTGTAAACGATGACTTGTTCTGTCCAGAACCACTATACAGGCTGTGCTGCTCCCTGCAGACAGAGCACAGCCTGCAGTTAGCCACACAGAGCTGCTTATCCTTTCACTGGTTTGATCCACAGTCACATTATTCACATATTTATCAAAGCTTTTAAGTCAGGAGAAATGGAAATAATAATGCCAAAAAAATATACACTAAAACCAGCAAAATGCTGGAAATCTTTGCAACACAAACGATGACTTTTATATAGGACTTACTTCTCTCACTTTGATTTCAGTAAGCACTTTATGCTGACAACTACCTGTTTTGTTCCACTTTATTTACAGTTTTCCATCCCAACATATGTCAGCACATTCTGCTATAGGAGTGGATTTACAGAACTCACATAAAATACTGAAATTCCCAAATCATGGAGATAATAGAATTCTAGCAGCATCCATACAATGCTAGGTGCTCTGCACTCAGCTTCACTCATCAGCTGTAAATAAACCACACCAAGTAAAGACCTGCTTGCAATTAAGTGTTAGGGATTATTGCATTGCTCCTGTCAGAACATTAAAATGCTTTTCTTCATAGCATGGCTCTGTAGAACGATCTTCATGTTCAAAGAATAATCATCTTCTCACAACTTCAGGATACTAACTTCACAAGTTTGAGACAAATGTTATTTGGGATTAAAGTCAGAGAGAATGGAAACAAATTCACTGGTCTGCTGTGCTCAGAACTATCCCAGCCACACTTGAGGGCACTGGGGAATTCTGGATTCAGTCACTGGGAAGTGGCCACCAACTGTGCTTGGTTGCAAGCCACAAAACCAAAGCTATTGCACAGACACCCATCCACAGGCTACGTCCTGTGAGCATGCCCTGGGCTCCTGCACACAGGGCAGCTCCCAAAGGGACACTCACTCCTGCAGAGGTGGAACACAGCTAAAGCATTTTCTCTTGACTCCTGGCTCTAGCCTACGTCCCCACATCACTGCCTGGTGAGTTCACCTTCCACCCCAATGTCCTTCCAGCAGGAGTTCCCAAGCACAGACAGGCCACAAGCCTGCAATGAGCTGAGCCTACAGCCAAGCCTGCCAGTGCTCAAGTCCAGCTGGCTCTAAGCATCACCTAGCCCAGATGTTTCCCTCTCCAATACAGGAGTTCCCTGCAATAAACTTGCACTTGATTTGTTCTCTAGGGAGTAGACAAGACCTCCTCCACTCTGAGTGATAAGTCAAAGCAGTGTCTTAGGAAATATTCAGATTTTACACGTACTGAGTGATAAGTCAAAGCAGAGTCTTAGGAAATATTCAGATTTTACACGTGACAGCATCCAAGATTGTTCTGCAGTACAAGAATAGTGTAAACAAATGGCACCAGTTTCCTCCTGTTTCAGTTTTATTCTGCTACACTTGCAAGATTCAATTCTGAGGAACTAAGTACCAAGACTTAAAGCACAACAGCCAGAAAAGTTCTCGCCCAACGAATCCTCTTTAATCAAGTCCTGTGCCTTCCCTTTCTTTTAAATCAACTAAATGCTCCTGGCCACGGTGATTCCAGGGTTTTATTTCTACTTCTAAAAATACCATTCTGGGTTAAAGGAGAAACGGTGAGGCTCAGTTAGTTTCAAATTGTAACTCCATGAGCAGAGGGCAAGCAGGAGCCACGTGTGGAATGCAGATCTTGTGACTCAGCACACAAACGGGAAAGGTCAAGCCAAGCAGGGCTGCCTCTGCCTGCAGAGCCCTCCTGAGAGCTTCACCCACCACTGCCCCACTCGCTGGATCCCTCACAGCCTCCTCTGCTTTGCACAAGTGAGCACTATCACACACACCAAACCCTAAGGTAATTACTGACCGTGGCTATTCCGGGGATACTTAAGGTCGCTTCTGAGGTTTGAACCTATTCTTCAGGCATATAATGCCAGAACATCTGCTCCAAAGCTCAGCAGAGGAGTTAAATATAGCTTACTCCTGGCACAGAAGCTTAAGGTCAGGTGAGAAGCATGCGTATCACGCAGGGTAACACTTTCTTGGTGCACCAGAGCTCACATGCCCTTTAGAGAAGTGTTCTGTTCAAGGTTGGCAGCCGAGGCCAACTGTGGCCTCCCTATCTGCTCGCCCTTCCCAGGGCAGCTGGATGCCCTGTCTAAAATCAGATTTGACATGGAATATGCTAAGCAGCTACTTTAGTTTGCTTTCAAAAATATCCGTAGTGAACCCCTCCACAAAGAATTATAAAAATAATAGATGGTGCCCATGACTGTATGATCCAAACTACTGAAGCCAACCAGCTTAAAGTTCATTGGACATAAAAGGCAAGAGGAGCAGTAAGGCAAGGAACAAGCAGAACTGCAGCCAGTTATCATCAGAAAATGTTTGTGCTTGCATAGCTTCAGCAGAAAGCCACCACCAACCATTAGGAGTTTTCAGCAGAGAGCAGTGGTTTGTACACATGTAACAGAACTGGTGCAGACGCCACAGCCTGTCCCACTGCAGAACTCATTCTGCAAACTCCCTGCAAGCATGGGGGGATCATCACCCCTCACACATAAAGGCTCTCTGCCTTTTATTTATACAAACACACACACATTCCCTACGTTACTCAATGCATCAAGGTATTTTTTTAATCATAAGGCTGCTAACAAGACAACCACATTTCTATGGGTTTGGGTTACTTAACAGAAGATAACAGCCTCTAAATTTGTTGTAGATGCTGACAACAGATTTAAGCAACTTTGACTGAGCAGATGTCTGGGAAACGTACAACACAGAGCAAATTTATAGGTTTTTTTTGCTCTTACCAAGCAGAGGTACTTTGTTCTGCAGCAGCTCACAATAACCTGCGGTGAGGATCCCGACAGGATTGCTCGGTACAAACCGTCCCTCCTTCACTAAACGTTCACATGTTCGCATGAGAGTCCCTGAGAACTGAGAGGGGTCAACCCCATAGTCTCTCCAGCCACCAACGCCATCTGCCACCCCTGGAAGGAAAGAGAAAACCAGAATTACATCAACAGCCACGGTTCCCAAATGGATTTATTTTTTTTTTACATAATTGATGATATTTATTAAGTAAAAAGTAGGACGTAGCACAAATCATTTTCAGCTGAAAAATATTCTAAGCGTTTCTAAGGCAGCTTCTGACACCAGCCCCTGGACAAATCTCTGTTTGAAATCTCTGTATCTCAGTTCTGAATTGCTGAGGAGCAGGTAAAAGTCTAACACTGAGAGCTCTGTGAGGAGGCTGACCTGCCTAGAGAACAAGTAACAGGGAATCTGGGGGAGGGAAGAGGGGATTCAATCCCATTAACCTCTATTAGCCCACTGAAAAGGAATAAAATGTTTATTAATTTTAAACGTGAAGGTTGTTAAGACTTTTTAAATTGTATAGAAATGCTAAAGAAACCTCCTCCCACTACTCAGCAGCCCAGTTTTGTCTCAAGCTACTTGGTCCTAAGAAATCTCATGCTTTCCATGTGGTAATACCCATTTCTGTAGAAAATAAACTTTTGTTTTAAAAGTGTATTCAAAAAAAATCCCCACATAACCAGCTCCATGCTGGGACCCACCCCTTCCAGGGAGAGTTTGTTGCTTATTGCTTCAGCCAAGCCAGGGAATGAAGATTGACTGGCTCATGGTCAATTTTCATCCTGTTACACAAAACAACCCAGGTATTGGAAAATTAAACCCATTCTGCCCAAGCTTGGGAAGCTGCTGAGCAACCACAGAGACAAGAAGCAAAGGTGCATGTAGAAAAGTGGGGTGGTCAGAGGGAGATATGATATTCTGTTGGCCCTTTGGCTAAAGTGTTTTGAACTTCCTCAACTGGCCTTAATGAGAAAAGTAAATACTGTCTAAAGGCACATTTACAAGATTAAATTATTCCTAGGAAGGGAGTAACCATTCCAAGCACAGGTTTCCCCAACACAATAAAGCTAAAACAACAGTCAGGATAAAAGCACGAAGAGGCAACTTCAGAGCTCAGATTGTGCTGAAGAACAGCAGCCTCCTCAGAAAAACCACCACTTAGCCAAGGCATGAAAATGGGACTGAAGAAGGGAGAACTCAGTTTGCCTCATCTACAAATGCCCTTCACATGGGACACCCTCTGAAACTGAGACGGAAGGTTTAGAGCTGACCTTGGCATGAACTATAATCTGACAGGAGGCTATAGCCAGATTCTGAACAGCCTATCAACATTAATCAGATTTCTCCCAAAAATAGTGCACAACCTTTCAGACACCTGCTTTGTCTGTTTGATTTCTCAGAAGAATGCCAGATCCTCCCTGTATTCACCTCTCTGGAGCAGACCCTGGGAAGAAGCTCCTGCAGAAGCCAACCTGGTGTTCTCAGGAAGGACTTTCCTGGTTTCTTCAGGAACAAACTAATCCTCTCTTCACAGGTCTCACAACTTCAGGTTAATACTGGATTAACCCTTTGTTTTCTGCTGCCACGCAGACAAAGAGATTATTAAGAAAAAGTTGTAGATCTAGAACTTGAACCGGACACTCCACTTCAGCTGGGATGATGACACTTGCTCTGCATGGAGTTACCAGATGAGCAGCTTTTTTTTCCCTTCAAGAAGAAGACAATCCAGATGTATTTCTGCTTGCTGAACACAGCAACGCTGCTCTGACAATGCAATGAAAAGATGATGTGGGCCAAGTACTGTCCAAAGCTTTTTGGCTCCTAAGGTGGTTACAAAACAAGCTCATCAGAAGTTCCCTCAAGCCATCAGTAAACCACTTAGTCTTCTTGGCAAATATTGAAATGGAAACACTACAGCACTGGTATGGACTACAAGGAAGCCATCACAGCAAGGACCTCTGAAGGTTACTTACCAAACCCTATTTCCATTTTTAAAGCAAAAATAAGAGTGTGCCACACGATTTTCTTTGCTCCCTTCTCACTCCAGGCAGGAAATGGGACTCTGTAATCATGGCAGCACACTTCAGGCTCTACCTGGAGCCCTGCAATGGCTTTGTCTGCCTGCCTTCCTGCAGGCTATAAACAGCTTTAAGTACATCCTGCCAGCCCTTCCAGAACAATCACCCTCTAGGTGGTCCACAAGTAGGTCCTCTGCCTCTGCTTTGTAGCATGCCCAAGGGGCCAGGTCATCTGTTAAGAATCCACATGGGAATTGTGTGTTCCTCCTCCATGCTGCCTCAAAACAAAAGCAGGACCACCACAGAGCTCCACCTCACCTCATCAGCTCACTAACACAGGTACCACTGCCTGCATCTGCTCTTGCCTTGCCCAAAATGGACAATGTGGGGTTTTTGGCAAAAATTTGGGGTTCTCCTCAGCTTCTTTTTTTTTTCCCCAAACAGTATCTCTACAACATGAAAAGCCAGTTCATTTACTTGAAGCTAAATGGCCCTGTTGGCTCATGAATGCTGCCAGAGCAGGCACAGGCTTCACCCTGCCCCAGCACCGAGCCCGCAGGTCCCGCTCCGAAATGGACAATGTGGGGTTTTTGGCAAAAATTTGGGGTTCCCTTCAGCTTTTTTTTTCCCCCCAAACAGTATCTCTACAACATGAAAAGCCAGTTCATTTACTTGAAGCTAAATGGCCCTGTTGGCTCATGAATGCTGCCAGAGCAGGCACAGGCTTCCCCCTGCCCCAGCACAGAGCCAGCAGCTCCTGCTGCCCTCCAGGTCAGTGGCTGTGCAGCAGCAAAGCACCTTCAATGAGCCCTCTGCCCCACAGTGCCACCCACAAAACACCCACCTGGGTTCCTTGTGCCTTAAGGGAAGATTTTGACCTTTCCTAAGCTCTTTAGCCATCCTGTCCTACCTTCAATATGGCTTTAGATTAAAAGCAGTAGATTTACTTTCTCAACATAAATTGAACAGCTTTATGGGGAAGGAATAGGTGATTTTTGAAATGGATTGAAGCAACTGCTACCAAAACAGAATCAAAGAATCATCATTAAGGTTGGAAAAGACTTCTAAGATCATCAAGTCCAACCATCAACCCAACACTACCATGACCACTAAAACATGTCCCCAAGTGCCACATCTACACTTTTTTTTTTGAAACTAGATTAAATGTAACTGAGAATAAAGTTTAAGAAAACTTTGTGGTATCTGATATACAACAGGGTGTAAAACTATTTGTGAGGTATTTCAAGCTCCAGAAGTAGCAAGAACTGAACCATCAACTCATAAAAATGGACTGATTTTTATGGAGTACCACATTTTTCCTCTGTCAGAGGAAAATTCAAAGGTATTGCCAAGGAAAAATGCCAAGCTCTAGTCAAACTACTGTCTTAACAAGTGAAGATTACTTGGGTTTTCATTTTCTTATACTTCACCTTAAAATATTGTCTTCCTGTATCCACAACTTAAAAAAAAAACATCTTACAAAAAGAAATCACAGGATGTTTAAGACAAACTGCAAGAATTATTATTGCTGGAATGGAACTGTAAGGAATCAGTGATTTTTTTCTAAGTTATTCAGTAAATCAAAGTGTTATAGAAAGAATATTTCTTTGGATATTGCCTGTTCAAGCCTACACAGAAGTTACACAAAGGTCCATGTGACAGTGAAGTGCCTGTGGCTAGACGAGCAACCACTGTAAATAAAGCAATTGAAAATTTCACAATAAATTGCTTCAAAATAATAAATACTTCTCAAGTATTTCACTACATTAAGGAAACCATTCAGAATCTCTGAGAGTTAACACTCCACTCCATTGCCTTCTGCTGGAAAACACACAACTACTACTGCCAGATTAAATACTTGCTGCATGTGTCAGTCCAAAAACTGGCTCCTTCTAACTGCTGAAAGATTCCACGTATCAACATCCCTCACAGGGACAGGCAGAGTGCAGTTTCAAGACAAAGCCTGAGTGACTGATGCTGCAGCACTGAAAAGGAGCAAGGCAAGACACTGGCACTGAAACTTGGTAAAATTTATTTCAAAATACTCCAAGGACCTGGGCTAAGATACCAGCTGAAATGCAGAGGGGAAGTTGCTGTGAGTGCCAAGCCCTAAGGTCAGCTGCAGAAGCCCAGGGACCAAGCAGTGCCAAGACTAGTAACACAGCCTTTTAAACCACACACTTCTCTAGGTCACATCCAGATGTTCCACCTAGTTCAGAGCAAATATGAAAGCAAACAGGCTTAAAGTTCAGCAGAAAACCACAATACCAGTCAAACCCTGTTTAATATAAACAGGGTTAGGAGTAGAATCTCTGGCTAGCTGGCAAACTAACCTGCCCGTGGTCAGAGTCCAGCAGTATTACACCCTGTCCAAAAACTCTCCTGAGTGAAGGATACTTTCAAACGTTGCATCAGCCAGGGGGAATAATCCCAGGCAGAGGCAGCAGGCAGGCACGAGGGTGCCAGCAGAAACCACAATTAACTCTGTAAGACACCCCATGCATCCCACTGAACTTTGAAGTTCTTGAGATCCTTACCCAAATTAGCAATGAATCACTGATAAAAGAACATCCAAAGGATATATTCGTGACTCTCTTTTGCATTAAACAGAGAGGAAAGGCTGAAATGGCAACAAAAGTGCAATCTGCTGCACTGCACAGGTTTGAGATGCAGCACCTCGTGTTTGTCAACGTATCATAACTGCAACTGATAAGATTTATTTTATCAGCAATGAGCTAAACCTCACAGTTGGATTGGTTCTCCACCCAAAGCAAGGCACGTGCTCACAGCCAGCACCAGCTCCCAGCAGCCTCATGGCAGCCTGGATGGCAATCACAAGGTCACAGCCAAATGGTGTCTGTCCCCTGGCACGGGTTTGGACATCGAAATAACCTCCTGAAATGCAAATCCCTGAAGGCAGATTGTGTGGGGCTGATAACTAGTTACAAAAGGAAAGGTTACTTACTCACACCGTGCATTTTAAGAGTTACAGTAGGGAAACTACCCTCCCATGAAACAAAAAGGTACTGGGAGAATGTCTAAGAGATGATGAGGAACGAGAAGCAAGAGGCAAAGTGAGAGATGATGTCAAGAAC